TCGAACTCACGAACTTTAGAGTGTTGACTAGTAAATCACAAGGTTACAACGCTCTCTAGAAATTCAACAAAAGATATAATACATCTTGGACTAAGGTGTGGCCACAGGGACTGGTTGGCTAGTCAGATCGTCCACCACGCAATTCTTCCTAGAAACTATGCCGGACCAAATTTCTGGTCATCTTATCACGACGGGCTAATTGACCATGCTTATTCTGTCATTCTCCTCTGCCCTGCCAGCATATGCTATTAGCGCAGGTGGGGACACCGTTTACAAAAAAAATGTCATTCATTAAAAAAAATATATTCAGTAAGTACTCTAGTAGTATTTACTACTAGACACTACAGTATTCTAAGATAAATTTTCACATAGACGTGGTGGTTTGCTATTTCAACATCGACTTTGGCCTTACCGAATAATCAAACATTGGACCTTATTACGAAAGCTCTTCAGATACGAATAGCAAATATTTGATAACTATACTATACGCGACAATCAATACTTTGTTGCTACTATGATAATAACTAACTGAAATCCACGAAGGTGCCAGCGGCAATTACCAATCCTTTTAATTAAATTATTTATTTTGTTGGGTTGTGTTGAATATGGGTTGAACCACAATTTAAATTAAAATTAATTAAGTATATAATCTACTTAAATAACTAGACTGAATATGTTATATTATGATGTCTATTATTAGGATATAAGTCTATATATCTTTTAATAAACATTTCCAAAATTAAAAGAATCTACATTTAAAAACATAATACATAGACGATAAGGAAGATTTAGTGTAATTATTTTCAATAGTTAGTACTAATATGCGCAGTCGGGGCAAGCGGCTTGTATAATATAATTGTTCTGTTATTTATATCTAAGCAGTTATATTTTATGATTCTCAGTTGTTTATTACAATATCATGGCAATTTTGCAACAATTTACTCGAATAGTCGGTAAGATTTGCAAAGATAACGCTAGTGCGTGAGACCCGAGTTTGCTCAAGTTGGGAAACCATCTCATCGTATTCATTGCGTAGTATAAGTAAGTAATTATGGACATACAACGCATGTTTGCTAATTTGATCTGTACACGAGACAAATACTGATGGAATAACGTATGTAGGTACTTCAATTTCAACGTACCATACGAAATTGTCATTTTTGTACCTAATATATTTGGACATCATTGGAATTTAAAATGTATGAATCATTTAAAATTAGATTGTTTTTTTTTAAGATCAAGATCAGTTAAAATAACATACCATATCCACCACGATAAGATAAAATAAAATAACATATCTTTAAAATAATAAATTTAATTTTACTCTTTTTTTTTTTAATTATAAGTTAACATATATTGTGGCCTAATCTTTATCGTAGTTTTTCCAAATTGGCATGGGCAGACTTGGAAAAACCTGTTAATAGGACATGCACGATAAATATTATCTTAATAATTATGTATAATTTATTATTATTTGTCTTATGATTATGATTACTGTTATGAAAACAGCTAACGTAAAATTTTGAATTCAGCTGTCTTTAGTGGACTGTATTTACGACAATTTGATTTGAGCAAGATTGATAATTTGGAAGGCACTCACCTTGTACTGCGAGGATTGCCGGTTCGGTTTCAGCAAGGCTTCCCAGAACTCCGGGCTTGTCCGAACTTACCTTTTGAACGGGTTACCTGTTTACCGCCAAAACCGACAATAGGTGCTTTCCAGTATCAACTCTTGCGTTCCTTTATTATTTCGTTAAGAATATTTAGTTAAGAAATCTATATAAAATATCGTGTGAATAGTGAACAATTACGAAAGGTTTAGGATTATAGCATATTTGTGTGTGTGGGTATAGTTAGTATGGCTTAACTAATAGGAGAAAACTAAATTATGCATACAAACTGTGAATATATTTCTAATTGATTTTGCCGTGGCTATAAATGCCAAGAAAAAACAATATTAGACACATTTAAGTGATATCAAGAGTACTTTTTAAATATGTTTTTTTACTAAGTTATAAGTAGGTACATCGAAATATCGGAGCGAAACATCAGTCTGATCATACATGTTCCTTGATCAGGAGGCTTCAATGCACGAGGTCATTAGAAAATGATGGTTATTAGCACTTATTTATTTATCTTTCGAAAAAAATTCTCTGAGTCTGAATCGAGTGATTCCATATCACGTACAGGCGAAACCTTTAAATGTATAGATATAAAAGTAACTAATGATGAAAATGCGTTTTCAAAGTAAATCTGGAGTTTAATGACTTTGCATATGCAATAACTTACGACGCAACTAAATCGTAATATTATTATGTACTTGCAAGTACTACGAATATAAACAACAGCTATTAGTGCAAGTACTGACGCACCTATATATCTGCATTAAAATCTATAAAAGGTTTATAATAGTCATTCAAATGGAACTTAACAATAGCATAGGGTTGAAATATGCATGCATGTCGTCGAATAAGTTTGGATAATTAAGATATTAGCATTCTACGTGAGGATGTATAATAGTATTATCACAATAATGTCAACTCAGTACACAAATATTAAGATTACATTATGGTATAAATGGATAAATTATTATTTTCATATTTAATAAATAATCATGTGTTATCATGATTATTTATTATAACTACATAACGGATTTTGAAGCGATTAGATAGAATGATTCAAGAGAAAGGTTTAAACGTATACTACAGGTACACCCGTGCGAAACCGGGGTGGGTAGCTAGTAAATCATATAAAATCACCTAGTTCAATGATATTATTCGCACATTAGGATGGATCCTGAAAAAAGACTCAAGAAATATCCAAAAATTTTATGTAGGCAACTTAACAAAAATAATTTAGGAGTTTGGGCTATTTAATACTGCAACTTCTTTTTAGATAGATGAATAAATATTCAATATAAAATAATAACAAAATATCCTGGAAAGACTCGTACAGTGTCAACTAGTTCCAAACTAATCAGAACGGGGTATTAGACACATATATGTTATACATAGAAGATAATTTTGTACTCAACATCATCATTGACATATTTTTTTATAATTATATACCATACCTTATCTCATAAAGTTGTTACTTTACATTAAAACCTTGAACGTCGATAGTAGTATTGGTGCAACATAACATTGAATTTAACATTTAACCTTGAATTTACCTTTTACAATAAAACGAAAGTGTCGACGAACGAACCGTAATTGTTTACATGTTTCTTGACAAGAATCTGCATAAATTGATTAGAGAAGTCAATGCTCTGTAATTTTTAATGTATTACTAATTCTCATATTACAAACATGAAAATAATACACTAAGGTATATTGTTAATATTGAACGACGACTTAAATTCTGTTGTTACACCGAGGTATATTGGTTTACTACTCCAATTTAGGTTGAAAGGTGCCAAATTAAAATTTAGGCGATACCAAAAGACCTTGTGCGTCAATTTATATTTTTCTTACCAACCAAAGTAATTTGAGAGACGTGAGAGACCCACCCAGTGGGTGGGTAAGCCACCTTGAAATCAGATATATTGAGCGAAATGTAAGCATGTCAAGTGTTAGGTTCGCCACGACAACGGCAGTAGTGGTAGTAAGTAAACGCTGTCTCTGACTACCCTCTCTGTGATAATAGTCATGAAAGTATCTTTAATTTTAATAATAAAATCCAGTAATTACATTTTATAGTGCGATATAATTTCTTTAAAAAACTATGAAAAGAATAACGTAATCTTTATAAATAACATAGGATACTCAAAACATTCTCTCACTCTCTCAAAATATTCTAAAAAATGGAAGAAATTGAATTTATTCAAATTGTAGAAAGAGATAATTATAATTTATTAAGTGTGATATGCTCACAGAGTATATAATATGCAATATATTAGCTGAGTTTGTAAAACGATTAGTTATTGCGTGCTCAGCAGTTTCGGCGCCATATCGATGAGTCAGATTAATTTTTTACAATAAATTTTGTATACCTACTTAGTAAACCATATGAGCCGATGATGTCAGATGAAATATGGGTTAAAATATATGTCCATTCATATGGAGTGGGTAGAAGCTAGTTTTTTAATTGATGCGTAAGTGACTGATGATGTTTTAGTAGGTGACGATAAAATAAGGAAAAATCTCAGGCAAGTTATCTCATTGCGTCGCGTCGTGGCAAATTCACCAGGAATAATGGTAATCACAGTCACTATATTTGATAATAAATCCCCCTCTTGACCAGGGCAAGTTACGTAAATTCAGTAAGTTCTTATTGCAAATCGTTTTAACGCAATCGTTTATTAATATAAAAATAATAAATTAATTAAATATTGTGACAACGTAAATCCTAAATTATATATGAATAAAAATAATAAAATTATATGTTTAATAATAAAATCTTGATATAATAATAATATAACACCAGTTTTATTGTAGCTCATTATGATTGTTGATTCTTGAAAAGATATATTTCAGGATTCACCGGTGTATATCCGCAGTTCCTAAAGAGTCGTGTTCAACATGGATGTAATATAAAAAAAATATATCTATCTACAAAAATATGTTTATTATTAACGATACTACTCCACTTCCATTGTCATTGAAACATGTCATTCGAATAGCTCAAAACTGTAAAATCTATGTCTTTCATTATGCAAAATAGTGGTATTTTCCATGTAAAATTATAAAAAATGTTATGCCAAAATTTGAGACGTAGTTACTAATAACTAATAGTACTAGTAACACTTTTCAAAAGTGACAAGAGTTAACTAAGAATATCGCATTCATATTTATAATATCTATTGGAAAAACTGTCCCTATAGGATTATATAGATAAAAATGGAATAGTTCATCCTTTTGTGCTAACGGTATACGCTAGCGGGGCACCAGTGTAGGATAGATTAATCCTATGAAGTCGTATGATGAAATAAACCATGAACTAATAACCCCCATTTCCACTATATAGGTAAAAAATACAAAATAGCTATTGTAGGTACATACCTTGTTTATTTATGTCCCATAATATGACGGTGCACCCCAGTCTTGCTAATCTCAACGCTATGAGACTGCCCAATCCTCCGCCGCCACCAGTCACCAATGCAATGCTGCCCTTCAAATCCTTCTTTTGATAGCCCACAATGGACCTATATATTGCCCTAATTATATAACCTATCCCGACGATGGCAAACACTATAAGGTCTATAATGGATTGCACGACGGTATATTTGTCTCTCATACACTCTGGTATCTCCCTCGTCAAAGGGCCAGGTCTGTCGCCGTTCATATACTCTTGTGCGACTGTAGACATTTTAAACACTGTAGTTAATGTTAACAGAACAAAAACTATCACTAAGCATCACTTTTTCACATGTACACTTAGTCTCTTCTCTACGCTGACGTCTGCAAAGAAAGAAAAAAACATTTTAATTGTATTTATTACGGTATAGTGCTATTATAAACTTACCAACATTGTAGTTTTTTCAGGAAATGGAATGATGAACAAGTTGATAGACTAATTTATTTACTATTTACCGTTGGTACCCCGTATGCCATTGCATTGCCATTCAAGTAGGCCAATGTGTCTGTCATGCCTCTATACATTATAATTGTACTTTGTAATAATAATCTAGTTATATTTCTGTTTCGTCAAAATAATATTACCAGGTTAAGGAAAACACAAATTTATTTTTTAAATATGCAAACTAAATGACAAATATTGTTGTACATTCGGAGCACAAACGGAAATTCCTGTTTATTTTGCCAAAAATATTGTGTACTTATAATTCATCATATATAAAAATAAGGTAACTGGCATGTTTATTTTAAATAAGGCAAGTAAAAACTCTATTTTTTGCTTCCTTTAATTTTAATGCATATTCGGTGCTAGTTTGTTTAACTATTAGTAGCTATAGATAAATCTATGTATATTTATGTAAGTTCAAGTACCTACTTTTAAATGGTATAGTACAATATTTCCATTAACCATGTTGATATTATTCCATTAAATATGTTGTACACAATCAATATCTATAATATATGTTATTTGTTGAATGTACGAATATTTATAATGTTGTCATTAACTTAACTAAAACTACAAATATATGTAATCTCCATATTTTTGTTTAAAGATATGAATCAATTAATTGACAGAATGGAAGTAGTATCATAAAATAACTACTCAATAGTATTTCAAGTTAAGATTATAATGAAGATTATTTATATTTCTGTAGTTAAATAGTTTCTGTTTATACACTGACGCAAAAGATTTTCACGTCATAAATTTATACTATTGAAGTATTGGTTTAAAACCAATACTCCAACGTAAATGAACTTTAGACATGAATCCTTTGTTATATATGTCGTATACTTATTAATAATGCTTAGGTATTATTCAGCTACAATGTCTAAATAAAGAACCTTAAAACAACAAAATAATACAAATATTATGACTTCGCAATTATTCAGTATATATACCAGTAGATACATAAATTGTTATTGAGAGTTTATACGTATGCTGTTATATTTTGTTTGATATATGTAAGTAGCAGCACCAGTAAAGAAAATAATTATAATAATAATAAATACTGTTTATTTGCCAGTAGAATATTTTGACGTTTTTGATAATTACAGCGAACCATGAGTAGCCAAGTTTTTATTTCGTACCCTTAGGCTTAATCGTATCTCATAGATTAATTGCCTATAGGTATAAATGAGAAAATAAATAGCCACGAGCACGGTAAGTTAATAGTTTAATGCTCATTTTAAGAAAACATTGTATATTATTATGAATCTTGTCGATGATTAAGAAATAATAATTTAATCAACACCGATGTTTCCCAGTAACAATCCATTATAAGTTTTTTCTTAGGCTGTCTGGTTTTATCTACTCTACTTTTTTTCATAGTTATGTCATTAAGAAGTAGGCAAAAGTAATTATTTTGTTCCAGACAAAAACAATACTTCTAGTTCTGGTCATTAAGTAAGGGTTAAATGGTATAAAACCTACCGTATATTTTGCTTCTTGACTGAGTTTATTTAAAACGAATATATGATTCGTTTCTATAATAACCAGTTCAGAATTTACGTTGGTTGGGTGTTAGGGTTTGTAACTTGTAATGTTGACACATATTATAACAATCTTATTCTTAATCATGTTTTAGAACATAATAAATAAAAAATAATGGGAATTATTTTACATGCATACATGTATTTGTACCATTGAAGCTCGAACTGAATAAATAAAAATATTTAGTTTGCAATGTGGAGGCACTCACGAATATAATTAAGATTTTGCCCTCAAAATTGTTGTATAATATACTAATAACTTTAATTATTTTTAGGGCAAATATGTACAACTGTAACTAAATAATTACCTCCAGCATTCACATTAATTATAAGTGAAGAAATTAAAATTTTCTAGAGCGTCGTGGACCAGTGGATTTTCATGGAAAGTATTATAGTAAGGTTTACAAACAAATGGTTATTAAAGTTACGGCCTCAGTACATCAGAAATACATAAATAGTTTTTTCCTTACGAAAATAAGTAATTTGTTTCCTGCATTCGTCATAGTAACGACTATATACGCAGATCGGAACTCGGAATGTAAGTGAGCATGAATACAAAAGAACACTAGGTAAAGCAAAGACTACGTGAACCAAGTCGAGGACATGCTTAATGTATAGATTCATTGCCCAACACAAATTATATCGTTATTCATCTACTCCTGCAACACGTTTGGAGTTTCGATATAGTGACCTTTATAAATAAATAGATTCGTGTAATTATAATAATATTAGCTGTTTACTACGGTTTTGCTCGTGCAGATCCCGATTGCTGGCAATTACTACCTTAACACAATAGGAAATAATTGATAATTTGTAAAATTATGAGGTGATAATGTTAATATAGCAAAACATTAAACTAAGTAGTAAGTAAAACAAAATAGAAAAACTCATCAAATCGAATTTTGCCGGTATGTTGTTGGTGGCTATTTTAGTAGGTTTGTCAGTTTGTATATATAAATCATATAATATAATATACATTGTTGTATATTATTTATAGCACATTAATTACCGATTACCATATTAACACAGCTCTAATATTAACAAAGTATAAAGAGCAACAAATTGATAAAATAAAAACTCCAATTAACATAATTTCCGTAATTTAATTTACTTAATTGGATCTCGCATTCTATATTTGAGATTAGCTACTTATGCTGCCGTTGTGTTCGTAGAACATTATGTTTTTAAATACCTAGATATGTTGAAATCTTTAAGCAACTTTATTGTAATGAATTCTATGCACTCATATGCAATAACTTGATTGTCATATTCCATTGTTTCTAACATGAAACATTTCCAACTTTACGATTCAGAAGGCTCTATAAAAACTTTATAGCTCCGCATGCTTTTAATAGAATATATCTAATTAAAAGTATACGATTTCTTTAAAGTACTTAAGGAAGACACTAAATTTGTTACAGTACAATAAAAATGTATATGTAATTTTTAGTGTGTATACGTATAGAAATGAATTCAATAGACATACATACCTATAATCTAAATATATCCAAATTTTGTGGACAAACCTACTAATCCAAGTTATAATATAAATAATTAAAAGTCAGCATCTCTTTTATACTCACTTTATTGTTAAAGTCGATTAGATGAACAAAGCTACACACACCGCTAAAGAGAAAAAGTTAAGGAAAACTCAGACACTTCTTATATACAGAGAGTTCTGTGACCTGTAGTTGAACGCTAACCGGTACTTATTAGATCTGATAAACAAAGTATAAAAATAATATTTCGAGACAGTTCCGTCAACATGAACAGATACTAATACTCAGATGTATCTGTCTAGTACGATAGTATATAGTTATAGTTATCAATATCGATACTGTTACCACAGATAAGATAATATTATATACCGTTACGAGATTAACTGGCAAAACGCCCCGGCTTCGCACGGGCAAAATATTTCAGGTCCTTTCTTTTATTAAAACTAAGATACCTTCTAAAGCACAATTTTATTCAATATTAAGTACTTATGATAATAAGTGGTAGATGTACCACGTATTTATTTGGATAAGGATTACTATCATATTTAAAAAACACCTTCGCAATAATCTTGTAAAAATATTACAAGATATTAATTACTATTAAAAATGTTATAGTGAATTAATTACTTTTAAAAGATAGATAATGTTGTGGGAACTTCTGTTTAGAACTTTTAAAGGAGAACAATTCCGTCATAAATATTTTTTGCGTAATATCAACCGTTTACCCGGTGCACGCAGCGGAAGTACTCATATGAATATTTTTTACCAGCTTTTTTATTGTAACTCCGCTCCTATTTGCCGTAGCATTATCTTATATAGCCTAATAGCACTGTGGGATCTAATGGTGAAAGAATTTTTAAAATCAGATTAGCAGAACCAGAGATTATACCGAACATACATACAAACTTTACCTCTTTATAATATTATTATAGATAGTTCCTAGCGCAGAGGAAGACAAACATTGTGTTATCCATGTTTCCTGCACTTTGAGCTGTTTCGCCATACATCTTGTCCGATCCAGCGGAAAGTTTATCAAATAGATGTCATAGTGAACGCGAATGGATGCAGTTTGCTCCTTCATACATCCAGTGGTGTCGCAACTCACCAACGTCACTCGGTGAATGCAAGCTGGCGAATTGCACAAACATTTAACTTTACTGCATGCATGCTCGGTACATTGATAGGGTACCTATTATTGTACTACCATTCAGCATTCTCTTATTCGAATCATAAAGAGCAAATAAAATTAACCTGAAAATAATTTATGTATAAACTAGAAGACCCGAGCAACGTCGTCAGCATCACACTAAGCTATATTACTGTAAAGTTTAATCGAAATCCGTTCAGTAGTTTTTGTGTGAAAGAGTAACAAACATCCATCCGTCCATTCATTCTCACAAACTTTCGCGTTTATAATATAAGTAAGATAAATAAATTTATCAAATAAAATAATAGAAAAAATGCAAATTTAACAAATTAAACAAACAGTAATTCACAGAGGAGGCACTTAGTTAAAATCATAATTATAACAGCTTTTTTAAATATCACCACTGGCCATAGTGTAATACGTACTTCACATATTTGTAAGACTAATAACTGTCTCATACGATTTATCATAATTATAATGAACTATAGACCATTACAACTTATTTAAGTAATTGTAAAGGATGAGTATACGAAACGCAATAAATAATAATAATACTTAAATAGGTATACCACAGACGAATAACCTTCACCCGAATATTAAGTAAATAGAATGTTTGGACATTTTTTAATGGTGAAGGTAATTGTTGTTACTCCAATTACTTTCAAGATACTGAATTATT